CCCTTGGGCCCGCCTCAACCCCCGGCACCTGCCTCGCTGCCTGCCGGGACGAGCCTCTCCCCACAGCCCTGCCTGCGGTCCCCTTGCCCTGAGATCCAGGGACTGCCACGACGCAGCAGTCACCGGGTCGGAACAACCGGGCTTTGTTCTAACCGGGGGATAAAAGACGAGTGGAAGAAGAGAACAGAGAGGTCTCCTAGGCCGTCCTCTTGCTTGAGACCGGGTCAGCTCTCTCTTGAGAAGCATCGGTTGAATGTTCTTAAACCTCAAGGGACAGAGACTTCCCTTCCCTGCCCTCTCCATCCAGGGGCAAACCGTTCCTGGGCTTTCCTGTCTGGGTGGTTATTTCTTCCTGGTGCCAGCTCTGGCTCTCTAGCCGTCTCTCTGGCTACAATTTTATCCCAGGACTCTGTCCCATGCACAGTGGAAGTGGGAACTGACCATTCCCTTCCTTTTTGCTGCTCTCTTTGATGTGTCTAGCCCCTCCTTAGCCTACTCTTCCTCTGTCTTCTCTTCCCCGGACTGGAAACCCCAGTTCAGTTGCTGGTTCCTTGTGGGTCATATTTTCCAGACTTCCGCACCCTTTTGTTGCTTTGCCAAATGCCTTAATGATTTTGGAGTTTGTGCTTCTCGGGATGAGGACCCTTGTCCCGTGGCTTGGGGAACCGGGCTTGGGGCCAGGTGCGGAACGTGCTGAGTCCGAGCAGCCCCAGTCAGCAGCAGCCCCAGCACTGCCTCACAGGTGGGACCCAAACTGCTGCACCCCAGTCCCAAGGTGCCCACTTTGGGGGAGAGGTGGGATGTATTTTCCCATCCTTCATCCCTGACTGGAAAACTCTTCCCTTCCAGGCAGATTTGAGCGAGGGAGGTGTGATGAGGGTGGGCTGAGTGAGGGGCTGGGGAAGCCTGTGGTGGGAACTGGGGCTTGCTGCAGCCTGTGCCCTGTGGGACGGCGCTGTGGGTAGTGGGGAAACTTCTTCATGGGCCTGATGAGTGATTACTTTGTACAGCTAATTACTGTCCGGCCTGGAGCTGGTAGGGACTTTCTTCAAGGCAAAGAGCAGATTCTGCCTCCTATTTCCCCCGGCCATGTCTACTGCAGGGGCGGAGGCCGGGCAGAGCAGAGCTCCCGTCGCTGGTGGCAGCTCCGCAGCAGCAGTGCCCTTCTGTGGCCGGGCTTACCAGGGGAAAGGGCCCCGCTTTTCTCATTATTGCTCGGATTTTTTACGATCCGGGGTTGGGCGCAGCTGCCCGGCCAGCGCTGGGGTGTGCCGGGTGGTTGTGGGTGCAGCGGGAAGGGCACAGCCTGAATTGCTCAATGTTTACAGGGAGGCTTTGGGCAGGGAGGGGGATAGTTGGGGCTGCCGGCTGCTTTTCACCTGGTGGGGTGAAAAGCACCTTTTCTCCCTTTGGTCTGGGAGGCAGAGCCGTTAGTGGGAGCTGGGAGAGTCGCCTGAGCAGGCCGGGAGGCGTGGGGGCTCGGCAGAGCTCCCCTTCCCATCTCTCCTCTCCTCTTTCTGTCCATGCCCTCTCTCCCAGGGCTACACCTCCTTCTGGAATGACTGCATCTCTTCAGGCCTGCGGGGCGGCATCCTCATCGAGCTGGCTCTGCGC